ATATTTTCAGTTCTCAGAGTCATCTTTTTTCCTTATTTTTTAGTTTCATATGAATGGAAGCCTGTGCTAGCAGCCGAATAGTTTTATCAGCTTGTTTCTTGCCTGTAGAACTGTGGAGGTCCCATATCTTCTTTCATTTTGTACTCTCTATGTCTCTATCAATCCAAGCCAGTAGTATTCATGCTGCTACATTTTAAAAAACCTTGTAGCTCTGCATATATGGTACAGAGACCCATTAGACAAAAGGCTCCTTGAAATATTTTTTCTGTATTTTTGGCTTCTGCTGAGATGGCTAAGGGAATTTACAAGTTACACATTTCATCTTTTCCAAGAGGCTTTTGTGTTACTGGGTTTCTGACTTGGATCTTTCTAAGGGTGAAAGATTGCCCAGCCACACAGTTCTAGCTCTTTCTCTAGAGCATGATGTTCTGATGGTGAATCTTGTCGTTGTAGCATTTTTTACAAACTTGGTAAGATAAAGATTTTTCAGATCATCAGGGTAAGATTTGCTTTGTTTTAAAACTTTTATCTCAATCTATGTGTTTTCTCTTATATTTAACCATAAACACCAATAACAAATAAGGCCACACTTTCAACCCTTTGCCTAGAAATCTCCTGAGCTAAATGTCCAATATTTTTAATTTATAATTTCTGCTTTCTACATGATATTAGGACATAATTCTTCTAATTAATATCAAAGAATAAATAAATAATTAATATTCTGCATATTAACAGGTTCCAGAGATTAGTATATGACATATTTGGGGAGGTATACCACAATTACAATATGCTTGTGTGATTTTTCACAGGCCACTGAGTATCTACATTTTACCACTTCAGTGAAATGTGGCAACCTCACTTCCACTTGGTTCCCTTTATGTTCTCTACTTTTAAATATTATTTTCTTGAGTATCAGATTGTATGATAATTCGTTTTAATCATCTAATAAGATTTACAAAATTCATGAGGAAAAGGATTAATTTATGGTATGTACCAATATATCTTCTCTTTTTTATTGTTCCCCCTTTGTTTCCTATGCTCCAAGATTATTTACTTCATCAGTTCCTTTCTGTGTAAAGAAATTCCATCTTACGGTAATTAAGAATGAGTCTGCTAATGAGAAATTCTTGTAGTTTTTCTTTGTCTGAGAATATCTTGATTTCTCCTTTTTCCTCAAAGGATTGTTTTGCTGGATATAAGATTCAGAGTTAGTTCCTTCTTTTAGCCCTTGAAAGATGGGGAGCCACTTACCTTTGCTTTTTGTGGTTTTAAATAAGGAATCTATTGTGACTCAGATTGGTGTTCTGTAGATAATGCCTCATTTCTCATTGGCTGCTTTCAATATTTTATTCTTTATTTTTAGTTTTCTGAAGTTTAAATGTGATATGTCTTGGTGAAGATTGTTTCAGGTTTATCCTGTTCTCCTCAGCTTCTTGAATCTGTGTGTGTGTGTGTTTTTCCATCACCAAATTAAAAAAAAATCAGCAATTATTTCTTTGAATGTTCTTACAGTTCCACCCTCTTTTCTGTCCTATTGACACTCTGCTAACACATGTATTATATCTTTGTTATAGTTTCCCAGGTCCCTAAGACTCTGTTCATTTTCTTTCTCAGTCTGTTTTTTCTCTGTTGTACAGATTGGGTGGCAGATTCATCTTTCCTCAAGTTTACTTATTTCTGTGCTCTGTCATCTTCACTCTACTATTGAGCATATCCAGTGAATTTTGTATCTGTTATATTTTTTACTTATGTAATTTCTACTTTTTTATAGCTTCTATTTCTTTGCTGAGATTTTTCTATTTCTTTATTTTTTTAACAGACTCTGACTTTGAAGCTTTTTTTATGATGGCTTCTTTAAAATCTTTGTCAGATAATTCTCAGTTTTCATCTCAGTGTTAGTCATAGTTTGTTGGGGTCCACCCTGCCTGGTCTCAGGAAGCTGTAACCCCCCGTAACGTAGGCTGAGTGAAAGACCTCCAGACCAGGAGCCACTAAGGAGACAAAACTTATTTCTCTGACATGAACACTGCCTGTTCTGTGCCTGACCTCCTATGCTTGATCAGCTAGCCAATGATGGGTAAGATTTCCCATAGAGGGAATTGTCTAAGACAGGCATGATCGCGAGGAGGCCTCTGGGAAGAGACTCAGGGCTGTGGAAATGAAGGGGTGATGTACATCAACCCCTGCCCCCTCGGCTTTGTCAAAGCCTAAGTCCTTGTTTTTAGAAGTGAGTAATCCAAGTCTCCTGGCTGCCTTTGTCTCCTCTGTTGACTCAGGCCTGTGGAAATAACAGGGGCGGTGCAGCCCAGACCAGAGACGGTGGACCCCCGGGGTAATCAGGCCTGGGACATAAAATATGCAAGATCCTGTGAGATCTGCTTGCTGGAGGATGTTATTAAATTAGAATATGAAGGCACAAGCAGGAAACGAGACTAGCTTTTAGGTCCTATAGTGATAAAACCCCAAACTCTGCCCAGAATCACAGCGGGGGTTCTGTCTGAACATTTGTAAGTCACCTACTTCTTTTGATCTTTTCTGCCAGACTGTGAATTCACAAACTAAGTCTGTATTCTTAATAAAAATCTGCTTGGGAATAGAAATGGGGCACTTTCCACTAGAGAGAGTGGCCGTTCTGTCCCTATTTCCCCACAAGACCTGGTTGTCTCTGTGTATGTTTTTCTCGTGTTTCGATGAGCATCTGCAGCAGAGATGGATACTGTTGCCCAGTATCCGCCACAATAGTTGATTGTCTTTTCTCACCAAAGTTGTGATTTTCTTTTTTTCTTAGTACAGTGAGTAATTTTCAACCACATCCTGGACATTTTATTATGTTTAGAATTTGAGTTGGATTTTAAATATTTTCTTTTAGCAGGTAGTCAGTCACATTATTTAGGTTTTTGCCTATGTATTCTGAGATTGTATTTTTTTTGATATGTAACAGTTCAGGGTTGTTCTATTTTCTTGGTGACTTGCTTCTTTTTTGTTTTACATATAAGAATGCATCTTGCCTCAAAAACAATTAACTGGATTTTGTCACAAAAATTTGCCTCATGAAGCCTTTGAATTAATGTGCCTTCTTTTGGATCTTCAATTTTTTATACTTTTGTCTTGCCATGTCCTACTTCTTTCTTTTGGGTCTAACTTCTACCTTGCTGAAATATACCCTTAGTGACCTTATTTTTTCCTTATTTTGGAATGTAAAGTTAGTTCCGGATAGAGTTCTACATTGAGAGTTATAGTCACTTAGCAGTTTGAAGGTATTTATTCTCTTCTTTTTCAGATAAAGTCCTTTTTTTTCATTTATTGTCAATTTAATTGTTCCATATAGAAATGTGTAGTTTTCTTCTGGTTAAATTTATTTATTTATCTATCTATCTGCCTGTCTATCTGTCTGTCTATCTACCTGTCTACCTCTCTAGGAATGATTTATTATCATTTTCTAGTCTTAATGGTCAGTCCAACTTTCAATTAATAGCTAAAGATAAAATATTTGTGTTATCAAAATAAAAATCCATGTCTTCTTTTAATATAGAAAATTCTTAGCAGTCACTCTTCTTCAAAATTTTCACATCAGAGCAAGTTGGATTCCCTTCCTCCATCCCCAGAACTTAGGTAACATAATCATGGAGCATTTTCCATATAGATTAGGGGAGGGACATTTTCACCAGTGATGAATGTAAACTTAAATTCCATGTAATGTGGAGTTTTATTTAATCTCAGATAACTTTTTTTCTGCCTAATACCCATGCACAACCAATGGAGGGAATTTTCCATGTTCCTCTTTCAGTGACAAAACAAAAATATAAGAACCCTGATACTGTGCAAGGATTTTTATTTTAGCTCTATCACTTAGCATCACATCTTCTGTTCCAGCAGAAGTTGACACTTAAGGCTTTGTCTCCAGGCTACACCCAGTTCTTAAGTTCTGTAGGGATCCAGGGTGTCAGTTCTTCTTATAGTTTTAGAATTGACTTTAATTTCATTCATGCCTCCTGATAGTTCCCTTCTTCATCTGAGCTTGGTTGTGCATTTGACTTATGGATTGTACATTCAGAATGTCTATGTGCTTTAGCAGGAAGAGGGCTTATTCTGTAACATCTCCACATGTTGTGCTGCCAGAAATCACCTGAGCAAGTCTGAACTCCCACCTTTTATGGGTGAGGTGCACTGAAGTATTTTGTGTAACACTGAGCAGTCACTTCAAAGAAAGAGGCATGTCTATATATCTCTTGTGTCAGAAATTGATGAGGTCCAGTCAGACATCCATTCATTATGTTACCTGAGGTAGTGCTGAGCATCAGGCAAAAGAAAAGTTACTGTTGGCTGTTTAGCAGCAACATTTAACAGCTAGCATGTACAATTTTAGTACATGTATTTCTCACAAGAACATTTCATGTGTTCAGTGTTTGGTTTATATACATTGTCTTTAGGACATGTTGTTCGGTACTTGGGAAAACTCACAGAAAGTCTGAACTTTCGGTTTAGTCCAACCTCTGAAAGATATAATTTATCAATTACTAATAAGAGCATTTTGAATAAGAACTACTGTGAGCTTACTTTATCTAGGAGTATTTAATTTCATAGTCATTCCTAAACAACCAGTGAAATTAGGAATTATATTTGTCAAGCAAGCTTATCTAGGACTATTAATCAATAATTAAAGAACCTCATATTTACTTTAGATGTGCTATTTTTTAAAAAGATTCTTTAATTTACCTAAATTCTGAGATTTTTTGGTTTGCAGAACAGCTAGTATTCACTAATTGTTTGTTCACCTCTTCAGCATATCCTTCATTGTCTGGCAGACTTTGTCCTTCTTTGTTTTCAAGTCCACGTAAAAATTGACAAGAAGTAAAATATATTACCCATGTACTAAATAAGTGCCCCTTGATGTTATTTGTATTCATAATATGTGCCTAGATTATACACATATACATCTGCATATGTACCAAAACAATTTTTTAAAAATGTGAACTGCATTCTATATTTTTGTTTTGTAGCCTATTATTTTGTGCTCAGCATTGTTGTTTTGGATGACACTATGAAGGATGGCATTATTACATTTAGATTATTAAACCAGCTTGGAAGAGTTGAAGCACCAAGGCTCTATGCGTAAGTATAATTTAGTATTATTTTTCTTCAGAAATAAAATGTTTGTTTTTTTGAGCATCCACTTTGGAAGATAATTCAAACCATGTAAACTTTTTTCACCAGGCTGCTTTCAAAAGTATAGCGGTAGGAATGTGCCCGATTTCAATAATACCACTGAGATTGCAGCCCCAGAACAGCTGCTGCAAACTGGCTGAGAAGGCAAGGAGGTTTTGAGTCTTCATTTCCTTTACAAACATCACGTCCTATGCAGAGCACCCTGAAATACTTTGGTGCTTTATTCAAATACTTGAATTAGTGCATTTTTAATAAAGGAATATAAAAAATGGACTACTTATCTATGGTAACTCTGTCCATCTAAGTCTGGCCAGTAAATTTATTATATTTCCATTAATATCTCTGCCAAAATTTAGTCATGCTTTGGGATGTAAACTATGTTAGATGCCAGGGAATTTAGAGACATTTAAATGAGCTTGTATTTTCCTTTTCAAAATTAAAATAGGAATATTTGCTTGCTGTAAAAAACATGTCACATTATACAGTAGAAAATGAACATCATCTATAATTATATTATTTAGGGATGTTCAGTTTTACCGTTTGATTTATAACTATTCCTCCTCCTTTTCCTTTTTTTTACCTCCTCTTTTTGTCCTATAGTTTCTTTTAGTACATGCCCCTGTGCACACAGATATTACTTTTTTATTTAGTAAAATTAGTATCTTGTTACACATTGTTCTGTGTCTTGATTTTTATGTAAATGCTATACTGTGATCGCTTTTCTCTATGTCATTAAAGTCACATACATTAAAATAGGATACTAAATATATTAATATGCCAATCTAGGATTTTGAACAGGATATCAATAATGGATATTCAGGTGAGAATGATTCCCCAGATGGATGGGTAATTGGGGCAATCAGAGGAACAAGAATAGGAAGGTGACTATTGTAATAATTGATGTGAAAGATGATGGGGATGTTAACCAAGTTAGTGAAAGTGGGTTTTTAAGATTTAGGGTAGATCTATTTTTATAATTAAACATGTGAAAGTGAATGAAATAAAACAATCTAGAGTGACTTCAAGTGTTAATCTTTATGACTACTTAAATTATGGTGCCATTCACTGAGACAGAAGATACCTAGAGAGGAGTCAATTTAATCATTCAATAAAATTCTTGAAAGCTTCTATAAGCCAGTAACTGCACTAAAAATTGGGGATAAAATTTTGGATTAACTAGATTTTCATCCTTATATTGTCTAGTGAAACAGAGAGACTTTACAAGTATATAATACAAATAAAATGATGTTTGTCATTTCTCTGTTCAAACAATTTTTAATGGCTCTCCACATGGAAGTAGGTACTGTGCTAAGTTCTGAGGATGCTGCAATAAGAAAAAATAGACATGGTCCTACTCTCATTAAGCTTCCACCCTAATGAAAGATATAAAGGTAATTAAATAATTATAAAAATATGTAAATAAAATCTGTCCATGATACACACACACACACACACCCCATAATGTGTCTTGAGGCACACTATGGTGTGAAAGGAAACATAAAATTGGGGTGAGGAGATGAGAATTAGTGGGGCCACTACAGGTTTCTTCAAGGATGTTTTATACTCATTGATTGGGACATAAATGATGAGCTGCAGTTAGTCTGCTTTGCTGTATTCCAGGCAGAGAGGCCAATACAGGCAAAGATCCTGAAGCAGAGTCGATTTCAGGAGCTGAACGAAAAGCATTACATCTGAAAATATAGGCAGGGAAAGCAAGAGAGACCTGGGAGAGGTGAAGAGTGCCTAGGTTTTGTAGGAACTAGAGCTTGTAGGGCATGTTCCAGGATTTATATTTTATTCACAGGGAAAATGGAAACCACTGACATGTTTTAGCTCAGGCTGTCTGGTTGGGGCAGGACTGGATTGTTATTTTGGAAAAACAGTTTGATCACAGTGTATTGGAAGCAGGAAAGACAGGGTACTATTGTAAGAATATGGGCAAGAAATGGTCCTGAGATAAGAGTGTTTGCAGTGGTAATGGAGAAATGAGGATGAATTCAAAGCATATTTGAGGAATTTCACAGTAAAGTCAGTAGGAATTTATGATTGACTGGGTGTGGGGAATGAAAGAGAGGATACTATGAAGGGTGAATGCTAGTTGTCTGGTTTGGGGAATAGGCGGGGGTTGCAATTTTAAATGGTAAGGAAATTTGTAGATTTTAGCTGTTTTGTTTGTTTGTTTGTTTGTTTTGTGAGGTAGGTGTTGGAGACAGTGTCATTTAGATTTAGCCTACTGAGCTTTAGGTATCCTCAAGGTGTATATCCAGGTGGACATGGTGAATAACAGTGGATATATGTGTCTGAATCCAGCAGACAGGATGAGGCTGGAGGCAGAGATTTGGTGGTCACAAACCAAGGTATTTGAAACCATTGGAGTGGATGTAAATTTGTGGAGTAAGACGACACATCCCCACCTGGATGTGCTTACTTTGAAATATCTCTGAGAAATCTAGATAAGCTTTTGGCCAAAAATTAGAGGTGTGACCAATGACATATTCTGTGAAAGAGGACTTAGTGACTCAGCCAGGAGGGTACAGAGATAAACTTTGAGGGAGTGATAACCATCTGGGGCTGACTTGCTGTGGAGATTCAAAATGAGAGGAGAGATAAACATAAGATGGCACTAGTGCTGTGAGCCAGCTGGTTGCACTTGGGCTGTTCTATGTGTGATTGAGACTTTTGCATAAGCAAGACATTGAATCAAAGAAGGAAATTATTTTAACAGTTTTAAAAAACATTCTCTTTCTCTCCTTTCTCTCCTCCCCTCCCCTTCTTTCCTGTTCTTCCCTTCCCTCCTTCCCTTTTTTCCTTCTCCTCCTCCTCCCCCTCTTCCTCTTTTTTCTCATTTTCATTTTCCTCAAAGTTCCATTTGGAGTCAGCAGACCCATATTGACATAAATGACCCCAGGGCCCCACATTTCTGACACACATGGATAAGGAATTGAGCAGAGTGGTAAAGAGTGTTGATGTGGCTGTTTTTGCATTCAGTTTTGCATTCACTTACTTAGGAAAGGCATTTATATTCTCTGATACTCAGTTTCCTCATCTGTAAAATGGTAACACAAATAGTACCTAATAAAAGGAGTTGTGGAGATTATTAAATAAGATCAAGGTGTATAAAGCTTTATTGTATTTCTTGGTACATTGGAAATGATCAAAAATTGTGTTTATTAAATACTGAATTTATTTTTTTCTTTAGAAACTCAGGCTTTTACAATTGTATCTTTAATTCACAAATATTTGATAAAGTGGCACAGAACAACAAAGGATTATTGTTTGAGCACCCATTCTATTCAAGGAACTCTGATAGTTGTTTAGGGGTCTAAGAAAAAGGAGCATAATATGACTTATCTAATTTTAGACAAAGGAATAATCTAAACACCTAGTCAGACAGATAAGATGTACCACTTTTTTTCAAAGAGTATTCTCCAAATATCATGTATAGGGGTGAAAATATTATTATTTTATATATATTGTTTTAAATTGCTGCTTAAATTATTTAAATAATTACTTAAATAAAATTATTTAAATAATTACTTAAATAATGTTTATTGTTTGGCCTTTTCCTATATGATTGGTCTCTATCCTGCATTGTTCATATTATATTGATTTTAGAGTTAAATTATATTTCAAAGTACTGATATTCTGAGTATGTCAAATTTTCTGTTTAGGAATAATAAATCACTTTATAAAGTTCAAGAAGTCAAGATTCTTGCTCAGTTTTTAAATGATGTTGTAAATGTTTCAAGCATTGGTTTGGCATATTATCAGAGCTCAAAATGGCAATGTTCCACATGCCAATATAGAATCCAGCGTCTCATGTTAAAATCCCTTACATATCCAGACAGGTAAGAAAATAAATTTTGATTTAAATATGTTGTCCTTTAAACTTGAGAACATTGGTTTGCTATAAAATGGTTTAAGAATTCAAGTACTCAAACATCTGTTTTTTATGTATTTCAAATTATATTTTATTAGAATATCTAAAAGGTACAAAATGCATTTTGTTTTTTGTTTGGAGAAGATTCATTTAGAACCACATCATACAACCAAAGAAAAACACACACAATTATTGCATGAGATACAACAAAAATGAAAAGAGTAAGACAAATGTCTGCCTTAGAAGTTTATCAATAATTTCTATATATACATATATATTTACAGAGTGGTTTATTGTCCATTTATACAATCCTTTAGATGAGGTCCAAAGGACTATAGTAGGAAATATAATTGCAGAAGTTATAAATCATGATTTTCAGTGATCTTTTCTTTTGCCTAACTTTATTACTCTTTATCTGAGAAGAGAATAATGTCCATTTTCATCCGCTGTAGTTAAGATTCTACAAAGTGTTAGAGATTCAACCCCAAGAGTATACTGACAGGATTCAGACTTTAGCATATATACAATAACAACATGAGGAGAATATGACTCTATACTTTTAAAGAAATTTTTTACTGTATTTTTTCCATTACCATTTAGTCCCCCTACACCCCGCTCCCCCCTGCAATTTTCCAGCCCCTTGTTTTGGTTTGTTAGTAACATCACAAATATCTCTATTCCAAAAATTATAACACCAGCATTACTGTGTGAGTATGGTTTTTCAAAAAACAATAGACTCTTAATAGCATTTTCCTAAGCCCATTTGATATGCTGTTCTTGGTTTCATGTTCTCACAACCAAGGAGGTTTTTCCCAACATCCTTGTCCTCATGGTCTTGACCTATCAATACACGTTCACCATGGCAGAACCCATATTTCCGCAAAAACGCCCCTGTTTTAAAGCACTAAGAACCACTCAAAGGTCTTTGGTGAGTTGATCATCTGTCAGTTTGAATATGAAGTGTTCTCACAGGGAGCATCAACTGTGTGCCAACAGCAATAGGTTTGTGGATTGCTAGAAATCTCTGTTCTTTAGTTGGGGCAACACTTAATTTTTATTTTTCTATGTCTCTGTATTAATGTATTTGATTTCCTATTTGTCTATCTATGAATGTTGAACTTAGTAAATAAGGATTTTTGGAGAATAAAATAATAAAAATAGTAAGTAATAATATTCATTTAGATGACATACATATCAATAGAGGGAGTGGGGACAATTCTTGAAAGTGTTAGTTATTTTGTAACTTGGTATAAAGAATATTTAGTCATTCAAAAGTCAATAAGGAAGATGTCATTATAATGGAAAAATACTGGGAGAGTTTTACTGTCCTTTTCCTTTGAAATATGAAAATATATGGATACTTTTAGTTAAGAATATTAGCAACATTATTCCTTGACAAAGTGTATTGGGGGAGTTATGAGGTCATGTTTGAAGGACTGAAGATTTAAATGGCATGGACCCACTTATACATGGATAGTTTTTAAAAAATAAATATATTTAAAAAGTTTTTGAAGATTTGTGACAATTTGACAAAAGCTATAGAGGAATCATGTAGCATTGGAATTTTAAAAATTTAAAAGCTAGGTATGTCATGAATCATAAATTATATGTATGTATTTTCTGTTCCTTATGATTTTCCTAATATTTTCTTTCCTCTGGCTTACTTTATTGCAAGAATACAGTATAATACATATAGTATACAAAATATGTGTTAGCTGACTACTTATGTTATCAGTAAGGCTTCCAGACAACAGTAGGTTATTAGTAATTAAGTTTTGGGGGAGTCAAAAGTTAAACACAGATTTTTGACTGTGTGGGCGATCTGTACTCCTAATGCCTGCATTGTTCAAGGGACAACTGTATTATTGCCATCCCCAAAAGCTAGGTTTTAAAGGCCCAGGGTTGTTCTACCATCATATTTCCTTAAATTCCCCTTCCCCCATTAATACCTCTGTGAGCATAAGAAAAGTAAGTATAAACAGTGAAGTAGGAGGCTTTAGCTTACATTCTGTTTCTGGCATTTAGATGCATATTATCCAGGAATAAAGTTTTCTTCCTATATACCATAAATGGAAAGAGAAACAAAAGCAATACCTCCATAGTGTAGAAGAAGTACACAATGTAAATCTTGTCCAGGCACCAAAAATTTAGTTAGAATCTTTGTGCATATAAAAGTGCAGGAGCTTAAAATGAGAAAGATAAATTTAGTTCCATACATGTAAACAGTAAAAGGAACCAAGAATAATCTGCCCTATGTGTATGTATATGGGCAAATGCCAAGGCTAGATTCACTTCTCACTGTTTAAACTTTGTAGAATCATTTAGGCCATTCCCTGCAATAGTTTCAAGGGTCACTGTTCGCATAGATAACAGTACCATCATAATGTACTGGAAGCTTTGCAATATCCTGAATTTGGTTATAAGCAGTTTTCTCTTTCCAGTCATAAGTTAGTGGCTACTGCCTTTTGTGGAATAATCAACTTAGTTTTTCTCTTATTGTCATCTGACAATAAGACTTCATTTTTCCTCAGTGTTTGCTTATCATCAACACTGGTTACGCATAGACAACTATCTACACTTTGAACAGTTCCCTTGTTTTATATTTATAGAAGACATTTCAAGGGGAAGACACATTTTCAAATCTTCTACCTCACCACATGATGTTCACACCTTGACACAGAGTATTGGTGAGCCTACTGACAGCCACTGCTCTCCCTTCGTGCATTTCTCAGTGACTTATTTTAAGGAGAAAGGACACAGACAGATGTGACCACTGTTATGTTTGACTCATTATGTTCTTAATTATGATTTACATAGAGAAATGTTTTATGCAACTCATTCATTAGTTAAGTAAGGGGTAGGGTGAAGTCATAGGGATATGTTACAGAACAAAAAGTAAGCATGAATGTAACTAACATTTATGTAAAATTTAGTGGATAGACTATGAAAATTTACCAAACTTACCAAATTTTCTACTCAGGGGGAAAAAAACTAAAATGCCCTGTGGGTGTTTAGCAAAACTCTGAACATCCCCTGCTGGCTGGAGATGCTAATAGATGCTTGGATGAAATGTATGCCTCAGGTTTAATTACCTAGATAATTGTCATAACCATTTAGTTGCTTTTCCTATTTAGATCTGTCCATACAGATGATGTGCAATTAATGAGAATTAGCACTGCCAAATTATTGGGAACATGAGTTATTAAAATGTGATGCCTTATGGTCCAGGTTGAATTGTGTAAGCACTCAACCAGTGATTATTTCTTTGTAACAAACTGCAGTAAAGACCGCAACGTACTTCTATTCTAGTGTTTTCCCAGAGAGCAGGACCTTGAAATTTGGGAACAGAGAGATATATTTACAGTGTTGGTGATTGGGTATTACATCCTGAGAAAAGTTGGACTAAAGCTGCCTTTAAAAACATTACAGTAAAATTATTCTTTTAGGCATACAGTTCTAGGAGTTTTGATAAATTCATGTAGCCACCACAACCAAGATTCAGATCATTTCCATCAGTCACAGAAACTGCCTGGTGCTGTCGCCTTCATTTTCAACCGCATTGCCCACTTCTACTTCCACTGTAGGAGTTTTGCCTTTTTTCAAAACGTTATATAAATGGAATCATATAGTATGTAGCCTTTTAAATATGGGTCCTTTCACTTAGCTCTGTGCATTTAAAATTTATCCATGTTCTCTCTTATATCACTGGAATGTTATGGATGAATAGTATTCTATGTATGGTATACCCCAGTTTGTTGGTCCAGTCACCAGTTGGAAGACATGGTTTGTTCATAGTTTTTGATATCTGTCTCTGAATAAAGCCAACACAAATATTTGCATGTTTTTGCGTGCATATTTTTATGTAAATGTAAGTTTTTATTTCCCTTGGAAAAGTACCTGTGAGTGAGATTGCTGAATCATCTTGTAAGTGTTAGGTTTAACTTGACACATTATGTTGATGACCTCTGCCATTTGATTAAGGGTATTTCCATCTTTTAATTTAACGTGGTTATTAATATGGTTGGGTTTACATTTGTCATCTTGCTGTTTTGTCTTCTGTTTGTCCCTTCTGTTCTTTGTTTCCTTTTTCCTCATTGTCTGCATTCTTCTGTATAAACTGAGTAGTCTTATGCATCCACTTTATTTCTTTTGTGGCTTATTATTTATAACTCTTTAAAAATATTTTAGATGTTTTTTGGGGATTGACATTATAATCTTTAATTTATCACAGTCTACCTTCAAGTGAATTTTACCATATAACATACAACAAAAAACCTATATAGTAATATAATTACATTTCTTCCAAGATTCTATTTTGTTGTTGACATACATTTTACTTTTACATATGCTAAAAATTCCATGATGCAATCTATCATTTTTAAAGAGTCAAGCTATTAAGGAGATTATAAATACTTAGGAAAATTAATGTATTTATCCACTTAGTTACCATTTCTAGTAGACTTCTAAACCTTATTAGATGCATATTTTCATGTGGTATAATTTATCTTTTGACTAATAAGTTCTTTGAAGATTTTCTTTTGTAGTGTAGGTCTGCTGGTTGTGAATTTTTTCATACTTTTTGTGTCTGAAAAAGCTTTCTAATACCTTCATTTTAAAAGATAATTTATCAGGTTATAAAATTCTAGTTTGACAGCTTTAATTTTTTTTTTACTTTGACTACTTTAAAGATGTTGTTGTACTGTCTTCTACTATGCCTTTATCCTAATGAGAAATCTGTTACTATCCTTCCTTTGTTCCTGTGAAGAAAATATGCCATTTTTCTCTGGCTGGTTTGAAGATTTTGTCATTACTGATGTTAAAGAGTTTGATTATGCTATAACTTATAATTTGATTCATACTTCTTGTGTTTGGAGCTTGTTGACATTCTGGGGCCCATGGGCTCATACATTTTATCAAATTTTATTTAAAATTTTAACTATTTTTTAAAATATCTTTTTTTGTGTTCCTTTTTATCTGCTCTCCCTTTAAGGATTCTAATGTCAAGTTTATTAGGCTGCTTGAAATTTTCCCACTGTTTACCAATGGTCTCTTAATTTTTTAATTTATTTTCCTCTTTTATTTCATGTTGAATATATTTTATTGCAATGTATTTAAGGTCACCATTCTTTCTTCTATATTGTCTAATGTGATATGAATCTCATTCAGTGTACTTAAAAATATATATATATTTTTGTTGATTCTAGAGAGAGGGGAAGGGAGGGAGAAGGAGAAGGAGAGAAACATCGATGTAAAAGAGAAGCATCGATCGGTTGCCTCTCGTATGTGCCCTGACCGGGATCAGACCTGGAGCCTTTTGGTTTGCAGGACAATGCCCAACCAACTGAGCCACACCAACCAGGGCCAGGGCACTTTTCATAACAGACATTGTAGTTTTCACTTCTGGAAGTTTGATTTGAATTTGTTTGTATCTCTCATGTCTCTACTTACCTATTTGAATGCATGGGATACAGTTATATAGTTCTTTTAATATCATTGCCTGCTGATTGTTACATCTCTGCTAGTTCTGGGTTGGTTTCAATTGATTGACCATCATGTTGGGTCTGTTTTCCTACTTCTTTGCACACCTGGAAATTCTCGATTACATGCCAGACATGGTGTATTTTGTCACATGGAGTGCTTATTCACGGATGTATTCAGTGATGTATTCAGTGATGTCTTAACCAAGCTAGAAGGCTGGGAGCTTGTGCCCCTTGAACTGGTGAAGTGCATGTGACAAATAATGGTGAACAACCAGCCTCTATGAATATTCTTCAGGTTTATTCTCAAGACGTTGTTTAGTTACCTACAAACAAATTGATTCTTTCAAGTCCTGCTTTTAAGATTTATTAGGCATACTGGAGTAGTGTTCAGTTCAAGGTTCATTATTCTTACTACTGAGGAAAGACCTCTTCACTCATTTTATCAGAGACCTGTTGAGTTACTGGTTTTCCCCATCTGACCAGTGGGGACAGGCACATGTGCTGATGCTGGAAACCTAATCTTAGGTAACATTTTAAGAGAATATTAGGTGCATAGATGTGCTGATATGTTGTACAAAAGCCATAAGGTGAATTTTGAAATGAGAAAGAATGTATATTTCTTGTAATTTGTCATTATATATATGGATTGCATTAAAAAACTAATTGTAATTGAATTTTAGAGAGATTATCACTGGAGTATTTTATTAAAGTTTATAATTTATCAATGCAGTGTGTTCATTTCTGCTAACATGTGGTAAGCAAAGCACTAAAATGCCATAGTAATTTCTTTCAGCAATTGAAAAAAAGCATAATATTTTTGTCCCATGGTAACTTGACATGTACTAGATTTTTAAAATAAAATATAGGTTTTTTAAAAATCTTTTTTATTGCCTAGGGAGAAATTATTAGTGACAGAATAAATTATGTCAAAATGAAAGACATGACAGTAGGACTGGATAGGCTTTTCACAACGTAAAGACACACAAGCTTGGTTTTCCTCATATGTGTTGGTGAAATTTAACATTGTAACCATTACGAACCTGCCTAAACTGTGTGTAATGCTTGTAGAGGCTTTGTACCCTGTGGAATACTTACTTATAAGTATACATTTAGTATATTACTAATTGAAGATATTTCAATTAGTAGCAGGGTTCAGAGGTTTTATGTTATTGTAGAAAAGAAAACCATCCCTGGCCAGTTACTCAGTTGGTTGGACCATCATTCCATGCACCAGAAGGCTGCAGGTTTGACCCCTGGTAAGGCAACATGCCACAGTTGCAGGATGGAAACCCCGTCAGAGTGCATACAGGAGGCAACTGATCTATGTTTCTCTCACATCACTGTTTCTGCCCCCCCCCCATGTTTCTCTCTGTCTCTCTCTCTCTCGCCATCTTTCACCCTCTCTCTTGCTCCCTTCCCTTCTCTCCAGAATCAATGGAAGAAAAACATATCCTTGGTGAGGATTTAAAAAAATGAAAAGCTAGCCCTTCAGGGTTGCTCAGTTGGTTGGAGTGTTGTCAGGGACAGCAAAATGACACCAAAATGTTGCGGGTTCAATTCCTGGTCAGAGTGCACACCTGTGTTCTGGGTTCATCCCTGGGTGGGGAGTGTGGGGGAGGCAACTGACTGATGTTTCTCTCTCACGTCCCTCTCTCTCTCCCCCCTTCACCCCTCTTCCTCTCTTCTCTCAGATCAATAATAGAATATTCTTGTGTAAAGATTGAAAAAAACCTATCTTAATATTGTATATTACAATATGTGAACAGCAGTATTATTTAATGGATGAGGTCATTTATCCATTGATAAGTTTAATGACTTGTCCTACCAGGGCAAGTTCAACAAGGAGGCGGAGGGAGACCCAGAACACTGAAGTCACATTCAGGGAATAAGGGATGCAGTGGGATAAATAATTGATATAAATATGCATACATTTGGGTGAGGAGTGGCAAAGTCATTCCTCTACTTACATCTTAATAATAGAGAAAGATGAGTTTGATTTTTCAATTATATTCTGATCTCTGATAATGTAATAAAAAGATATTTTGCTAACATCTAAAAAGTCTTAAGAGATTAAAGTATTATCATTTTATTGTACATTTACTGCTATAGTATTAACATTAAAATTTTAACATGTCTTTATTATTTTAAATGTAAAATACTATAGTATTTTATATCAGTTTTTATAATTAAAGGTGAATGTCTACATTTTATTACTTTCAGATACATTAGCAGAAAAAAATGGTTTATTTAAAAATTGAATAATTTAACCTGAAAATTCTGTTGAATATTTTAAAAACGTATTCAGTGACGTCTCAGCCAAGCTAGAAGGCCGGGATCTTGTGTCCCTTGAACCAGCGAAGTGCATGTGACAAATAATGGCGAATGACCAGCCCCTGTGACGTTGAGCTGTACCCTTTTCCTTGACTGTTCCTGTGGCTGACATAGGAAATTTCTATTTATCACTACCATTTTTTTCTTTAGCCTCCATTCCTGAACGTTTCCCAATCTTTTTTTTTAATTCTAGTTTATTGTGTTTTTGAAGATTTTCAAGATATCAAGAGGATGATAACTAGGCAAGATGCTTGGTTTACCACAGTAACTTGACTTCTCAAAAATCTTCAATTGCCAACTACACAATCCCTCCCAGATATAGAATACTTCACTCATTCTTACTTCCATTTTAGTAGGTGGCAAAGATAATTGATTAAATCACTTTGTCAGCACTTGTCTGTGCAGTTCAGTGGTAGGAGAGGCAGCCTAGCCACTGAGTTGAGTTTGGGTTTCATTTATTTCGGTGTCCAGCAGCATCTCCATGCATTGTACATATTTCAGTGGAGCAGCAAGGAGAGAAGGTGAAACACAGAAATTATTCTGTTCTTTTTTTTTTTCATAAACATTGTGTCTGCTTCATCCCAGCATAGCCCAATAAGAGAGTGGAAACCTTTGTATAGGTTTGTTCCCACTCCCTGCATTTGGAAAACTAGTTAGTTATAAGCATAACATATTCTAATATTTATGAGAAAAAGAAACTTTGTTGTTTTACTAATAGTTTTTTTTTCCTTCTCTTTTTCTCTCTCATAGACCACCACTCTGCAGGTATGACTTTGTACTTAAAGAAAGGAAAGAAGTATTTCTCAATCCATGTACTTGCAAACCAGAAGAAATATGACATGCCTTCTTTCATTAATTGTAACAACTTGTGAATTAAAGAAGTTGTAACTGGGAACAATGTAATCAATATTTCTTTTAGAATGCATTGTTCAATCTGGAATTCAGATATTTCTACTTTTTTAAATAAACTTTTAAAAATAAAAAATATATAAAATTTAAAAATATATGTGACAAAGCATTCTGAGTTCATTCTAAAAGCTATTTATTTCTGTTTACCTCAACCAACCATTTAATCATAGAATGTTTCCCTTGTTTATTATTAATAGATAATATGTCTTTAGAAAAAAGGGAAGCTTATTGCTTCAATACACTGTCTAAACATTGTCCATGTCTCAGACTACAGTGGCAAAATACATGAATATTTTTTAATTGTAAATTTGTCACTTGGAGAAGCCACTTGGACTAATGTAAATCTTATAAACATAAATGCACTTTCTGTTTAGTGACCTATTTAGCATTTTTGTAATGCTTTGTAAATAAAGATTTTCTTTCTAAAATCTTTAGGAGCATAATAATCTACAGGTCCATGATGCTCAAGGTCAGATCCTGGGTCTGCTGCTACTCATGGTGTTATCCTAAGTAACCAGATTTATCTCACTCTGTTTCAGTCAGTCAGATTTTTTGTGAAGATTGATTCAGTGCTTTGGCTAGTGTCTGCCTGTAATGCTAATGGCAAAAATGATGATAGTTAACACTTAAATCACTGTATTTCTATTCATTTAATCATTATAAAACCCCTATGAGGTTGACCTTGTTATCACCACTGATGAAGAAACTGAGGCACAGAAATGTTAACTAACTTAGCTAGGACCATGCTCAAAACCAAAATCAAAATCAAAGTTGTCTGGCCCTTGTGTCCATGTTTTTAACCCCTATAAAGTGTCCTCCACAGTTCAATACATGGCAGTATCTGTATTTACAAATATTGCATTCAAAATGATGATTTACATGTCCTTGGCATTGTCCTATTTACCTGTTCAGCCCAGGAGTTCCTGGGCTGTAGGTCCCTCTCACTTATATCTGAATGTTCGCAAGGTTTGCTTTATGTATATTTCTAAACCAATCTGTTAACTGAGTCAGCCTCTATGCTTTTGAATTCCTTCTGTATCAGGAGGAATTGCTTGGGCTGCCTTAACAAAATACCACAGATAGTGTGGCCTAAACAACATAAATTTATTTTCTCAACGTTCTGGTGGCTAGAAGTCCAGGATCACAATGTCAGCAGGTTTGGACTTTTCTAAGACTTCCTTCCCTGCTGTGTTCTCATATGGTCTTTCCTCTGTATATTGTGTCTCCAGTGTATCCACATTTTCTCTTCTTATAAGGACATGAGTGAGTTTGGAATAGGGCCCACCCTAATGAACTCATTTTAATTTAGTCACCTCTTTCAAGGCCTATCTCCAAATATAGTCACATTTGAAGTACTGGGGGTTAGGGCCTCAGCATAAGAATTTTGGGGAGACACAGTTCAGTTCATAACGCCTGTCTCAACTCCTTAGCTTCACAATGATGAGCTTTTCCTAATAAGCCATTTGAAGGTAAATTGGAGTCCTTGCTGGTGCCTACCTAGGGAACACTAATGTATGAATACCCTTGATATATTAGATGTGTGTCCTACTTGTGTAGAGATAAGTAGAAGCAGCTTCTTTCTTTGTTTATGGAGGCAAGCAGGGCTGCCTGCCCCTCTACTGTCTGACAGTCATTTTTTAAAAAACAACTTCTTCCCTGGCTGGTGTAGCTCAGTGGATTGAGTGCTGGCCTGCAAACCAAAGGATCACTGGTTTGATTCCCAGTCAGGGCACATGTCTGGATTACAGGCCAGGTCCCCAGTAGGGGGTGTGCATGAGACAACCACACACTGATGTTTCTCTCCCTCTCTTTCTCTTTCCCTTCCCCTCGCTCTAAAAATAAATAAATAAATACAAATAAAATCTTTAAAAAATAAAATAAATAAAAAACAACTCCTTCAGTTTTGGCCACAGCCTGTCACTCCACAGACCTCTGACTCCAGTCCACAGAGATGGCTTTTCTTCTGTCACTTTGGCATTTGCTCACAAACTTCCCGCATTCCTAAACAAAACCATAAACCTTTGTATAACTTGACTTTTCCAGTCCCACCTAATTAATTTGGCAAATATCTCCAGAAACTTTTGAATCTCAGTTGGTGGCTTTGATGACATTTAAAATTAAATAAAATGCACTATACACGTGTTTCCAGGAGCAGAAACCTGGCTGCCATCTGCCTGACTGCTTAGAGCCTCTGGATGGAGGAGAAACAGCGGCTGACTTGCCTCATAGCAAAGTAAATGTCCCCTAACCCTTGTAAAAAAACTTCCTTGCCATAGGTGATAGAATCTTTCAAGGATAACACAAAGACATACCCTTATAACATGTCTTTAGGTTTTTACATCTTCCCCAGTATCCTAATTCCTTACACATCTTTTGTCAAGATCAAGGTTAATGAGGAAAGGGAGCCTCTGGAGCTCATCTTGGTGGTGAGGGAAATAAACTCCACTGGCACTCAAGTTTATAGTCTTCAAGGAGTATTTTAATCATATTTATTTTTTTCAAATTTGTGGAAATCATATATCAAAACTGAAGAAGAAAATATGTATTTTTCAGTGGATCATGAGGAAGCCCAGGTATTCTGTAGCAATAATCTGGTCCAAAAAAAAAAGAACAAATAACTATTATGCACAAAATATGTTATGCCAGGGTGCTCTGAAGACATGCCGTCCCAGATCAGATACATAAGAAACAGAGAGGTGAGGTATTTAAATTATCTAACCTTCAGAATGGCTGCTTGATACGGGTCACAGAATCAGACTCATTGTTTTTAAAAGTTCCACCCACAATGTAGTTTGAGGACTTTAGATCAAGAGAGTGGAATGGGCAAATGCTGTGCTAACCTCCTCACATGACCACATGACATTGAAACTAAATTATAGAACAATCACTCTTGAGAACCACCTAAAGACTAGCTGAACAGAACTTCTATATCTAAGATTAAAAAGGTGAAGCCATGTTGGGATTGGTAGGAGGGGTGGAAATCCAAAATGGGCTAGTCCCACATCTGTGTGTGGTGATTAAGAAGAAGGAGAGATACCTTGGTTAGAGCGGTCCTGAGTGAGGAGAAAGGGGTACCAGCCACAAACTAGGTTCCCTAGCCTGGAGCACCAGTGTCAGGAAAAGTCCCCACAGCAGCTGACTGTGAAAGTCAGCAGGGATTCTGGATTCTGTCCAGGTGAGATGGAGGGATACTGTAGACCAAAGTGTCTACAAATACTAGCTCTAAACTCCAGAGAAGGGGCAGCAGCTCAAAAAGCACCAGGAACACAAGGTGAGAAATTGAACTGTTTGGCTTGGGCAAGGGCTGGAGGCACAGCTCTCTCTGAACTAAAGAGCTGGCAGGTACCATTGTTTCTTGTTTATCCTGTCTTACACACATGGATGGCAGGGGCAGGGGAACACCCAGTCCGATTCTCCATTAAGCTGGCTAACACTGCTCTCACCCCACCCTGGAGAGACTCATCCAACTCACCCACCTGGCCCAAACCTTTCTCAGAAGTTAGTGCACACAAGTGGCAGGACTGGGCCTGCACTGCAGACCTTCCTCAAATCTCTTAAAGGTTCACAAACCCCTAGCAAGCAGTCTCATAACACTTGCCAAGTGACCCCAAGACTGGCACTAGTGGCAACCAGCCACAGATTGCAGCATAACCACATCCAGGCACCTCCAAGGCCAGCACAGGTATCTCCAACCAAAGATCAATTTACAGGTCCTACCAGATGTCCCCAGAACAGACACAGCAGTTAATGTTACCCTGCACCAGAGCTCTTCCCAAGAGGCCTCAGAACAAATACCTGGTGGCCAGCTTCAGACCACACCAGAGTACCAGCCAGTAAGCTTCACAAACAACATACCCAAAAGGTGGGCTTTGCAGGCAACAGAGACCTACTAAAGCAAATTCTACTCCTTGGGGTTATCTCACAAACAATAGCTTGCCTGCTGTAGTCACAGCCAGTCCTCATAACCAGTCAACCTGAGGGTCAATCCCGTGTACTGATTTGCCAACATCAATCAAGGCTCAACAACAACAGCAGAACATTCGTAACCTACACAAGAGGCACCTATGGAGCACCAGCTCAGGTGACGTGGGAGACTGAGCCACTGGGCCAAACAGGATACCTACTACATAAGGCCAAGACTGGGAGATGTAGCATATCTGCTAATTACATGGAAACAAACACAGGGAAGCTGCTGAAATGAGGAGACAAAGAAACATGACCCAAGTGAAAGAATGGAACAAAACTCCAAAAAAAGATCTAAGCAAAATGGAGGTAAGCAACCTACTAGATGTAGACTTCAAAACACTGGTTATAAGGCTGCTCAATAAACTTAGGGGAAGAACAGATAATCGCTGTTCTTTTCAACAAAAAGATAGGTGGCATTAAGAAGAAGATAGAAGTTATTAAAAAGAACCAGTCAGAAATGAAGAATATAACAACTGAAATGAAGTATCAAATCAGAGGTTTGGAAGACAAGGTAGCAAAAACTGCACCATCAGAACTTCAAAAAAATAAATTTTACAAAATAAGGACAGTTTAAGGGACTTCTGGACGACATCAAGCATATGAACGTTTGCATTATAGCATGACCAGAAAGAAAATGGAAGAGACTGAATATCTATTTGAAGAAACATTGACTGAAAACATCCCTAATCTGGTAAAAAAGAATCGACGCACAAGTCCAGGAAGTGCAGACAGTCCCAAAAAAGATGGACCCAAAGAGGTATACACCAAGACACAACATAATTAAAATAGCAAAGGTTGAAGACAAAGAGAGAATCTTAAAAGCAGCAAGAGAAAAATAAAACTATCAGTTGATTTTCGACACAAGTTTTGCAGGCTAGAAGAGATTGGTATGAAGTACTAAAAATAATGAAAAGCAAGGCCCTACAACCAAGATAGACAGTAAGTCTATCATTTAGAATCAAA